AGGGGAGTAGGGAGTTTACATTAGCTTTTTCATTTCCAAATGAAGTTACATTAATCTCTTCATTCCCAAATGGAGTTACATTAACCTTTTCAGCAGCCGATATATTCCCTTCCCATTCTCTCACCCTTCCCTAGCTTGTCAAGCATTCTTTCCAAAAATTGGGACTTTTTTAAAACACGGCAGGATGCGGGACAAACTGTTAAAAATCAGGACTGTCCCACCAAAAGCGGGACATCTGGTCACCTTATACATGGAAAAATGAGTGAGTAAAAATTTTAGGTATTTCCTAGTTAGAGAAAAGACAAAGCAAGGCGAGAATGAAAATATAATCCTACAGGTGCCTATAGACCAGTGGCTAGGGCGCCAGCCACATACACTGGAGCTGGTGGGTTCGAATCCAGGCTGGGCCTGCCAAACAACAATGACAACTACAAACAAAATACAGCCGGGCATTGTGGTGGGTGCTTGTAGTCCCAGCTACTTGGGAGACTGAGACAGGAGAATGGCATGAGGCCAAGAGTTTGAGGTTGCTGTGAGCTGTGACGGCACAGCACTCTACCAAGGGCAACATAGTGAGACTCTGTCTCAAAAATAAAAAAAAAAAAGAAAGAAAATGTAATACTAGTAGTCTACACAGATCACCTACAAATAATACCTCTGCAGTCCTAACCATATAAACACTAAATCTCCAACCTACAAATTTGTATTTTAAGTAGGTATTTTACACAACTGATTTTCCCTCTTTTTTTCTCTAGAGCCACCAAATCACCTGGGAGTGATGCTGTGGACAACAGGGGACACTGGTGGTCCAGGGACCACTCTGGAGAAGCAGTGCCTCACAGCATTCTGCACCAGAAATTCCCTTTCACAGGAAGTTCCATGCTTAGTCTAATGCTTATCGTAAGATTCTACATGTTTGATAAACATATATGGACAATTGGTGTACTTTATGAAATCTAAGAACGTATTTAGGAAAAACAAGTTATGTTTTTATTAGAAGGCACAATCCAGTATTTCAATTTTAGGTTCAAAATTATTATTATTATAACTAAAATAAAATTAATGGAAATGCTTAACCACTTTATTATGAAAGAAAGAAGTAAAATATAAAATGGAGTTGAATGAGAATAAAATATTTTAACTTACTCGTATGAAATCCATAAGTGTATTATAAATGAAGGCTCCTCTGGGAAGAAAAAAACAGCTTCCAGGACTCAGATCATGGAAAAAGAAAAGCTCTTGCTCCTAGATTAAAACAATAATTGCATTTCAAATTTCATCTTCTTGTTGCTTATACAAATACACAAAGCACACATATGGTATGCTAGGAATAAACCCTACCATACCCCGCTATCTCCATCCTCTGAGAACAGAGCCCCTCAGTACCTACACCTAACTGTAAGTTACAACTCAGACTTAGGGTTACTTAGCCTTGAACTTCACTTTTATGTCACTGTTATTTACTATTAATTTTCTTACTTGACACCCTTAGAATATGGATCTCATGGAGAGACAACATGGTAAAAGATCAGAAGAGCTCACTGCAGGAGGCGGGCTGTACATGACGATGATCATGTCATGACTGTCACATACTGAGAGTCTGCCCTGTGCTGGGCACACTATCCCACGTCTGTCCTCACATCACCCCTACAAGGCCACCCAACAAGGGTTTCATGGAGTTTCATAAGCAAATACCTTACCCGTTACCCAACACATCTAGCAAGTGGTAGGACTGAGACTAAAACAGGTTTAGCTGCTTTCAAATTCTCTTTGTATACACTGCTTTGCCTCCCAAATACAAAGTATGCTATCAAGTGTACACAGTGCAAAAATAAATCCACTTTACTTTGCATTATGATATAAATAAGAGAAGGTTCAATTTTTTTTTAATCCAATAAAAGATATAAGAAGGAAAGAGGTTAGAAGATACGTGGGGTATTAGCATGACTCAATATGAGTACCAGCAAAATAGAAGACAGGAGAAGAGAAGAAGAAATATGATTTTTAAAACAATTTGGTTTTATGACATATAATCATAAGCCAACAACTTCGTCACAGTAGTGATGAACACACAGGGCATACCTTCCCGATCTTCCTGTGATCTCGGTTCTTGGCTTCCTCCTGGAGCTTTTCCCATGCTTTCATCATGCTGCTGTCAGGAAAGGATATCCCATAGACCCTCTGCAAGGTTTCCATTTCAGGATTGCCCTCCCAATATGTTGAGGAATTCTAAACATCAAACAAGATTCTGGTGAACATACCAAATATTCGGTTAGAAGTAAAACTGCTCTTAAATATGTATGTGAGTTCCCACTACAACATCGGCTAGCTGATCTAAAGACTTTTTGCAGTGCTAGAAACAATCTTAAATTGATTCCAACCAAACCTTCCTGAACCAAATCATACCATTAATCAGTAAATTATGTAGAAGAGTCTGTTGTGGATTCTAGGAATGAAGTGAGAACAAATGGAAAGGAGGGAAGATTAGACAGCAAGTACGGTCACCACTAAGGGGGCAGAGAAACAGGAGGCACAGTCTTGTTGACCCAAGGGTTAAGAACAGTGCTGTCTTCTAGCCCCACGTTTCATGAGAAAACCAAGGCCCAGAAAGACTGTAACTGCCACAACAGGCCCGGGCCTCTTGACTCCCAGAGTGATGTTTTCTCCATTATAACATGGAGACTTTCGATTTGCCTGAGGTTTTTGATTTTTTTCTTTTTCCCATAGTACATTATTCTCATGTACTCTTACACTCACATTAGGGCCATTCAAAAAAACCACAGTATGCAGAATAATAATTTAAAACATCATATGAAAGAGCAATGTTTAACAACTGCAGTTGTTAAAATTACAAACAAACAGGTTAAATTACAAACCAAAGCTACCTATAACATAGTATTCTAATTACCAAAATTCTTAATCATTATTAGTTCTAGTCAAATAAGAATACAATATTTTAAAACATCATGATATTCAGACTATAAAAGATAGGACTAAAATTGTTTCTTATCTACTTCACCTTACATTTCCTATTTTTTTTAAATCAATGCTTACCTTGAAAATTTTTATGGTTTTAATTTTTCCAGTGTGTCTCACATGGGGGCCTTTACAAAGGTCAATTAGTGGACCGCACCTATAATGAAAAATTTAAGACATGCCAAGGCAGTTATAGCCTTTTGAATGCTCCATTATAAACCATATTTTCATATGTTTAGTTGTTGTTGTTGTTTTTGTTGTTTTTTAAGACAGAGTCTCACTCTGTCCTGGCATCAGCCTGGCTCACAGCAACTTCAAACTCTTGGGCTCAAGTGATCCTCTTACCTCAGCCTCCCAAGTAGCTAGGACTACAGGTGCCCACCACAATGGCCTGGTTAATTTTTCTGTTTTAAGGCTCAGCACCTGTGGCTCAAGTGGCTAAGGTGCCAGCCACATACACCTAAGGTGGCGGGTTTGAATCCAGCCCCAGCCCGCCGAAAACAATGACAGCTGCAACCAAAAAAATAGCCAGGCGTTGTGGTGGGCACCTGTGGTCCCAGCTACTTGGGAGGCTGAGGCAGGAGACTCGCTTAAGCCCAGGAGTTGGAGGTTGCTGTGAGCTGTGATGCCATGGCACTCTACCCAGGGGGATAGCTTGAGGCTCTGTCTCAAAAAAAAAAAAAAAAAAAAAATTTTTTTTTCTATTTTTAGTAGAGATGAGTGAGGTCTTGGCTTTTGCTTAGGCTAGTCTTAAATTCTTGAGCTCAAGTAATCCTCCTACCTTGGCCTCCCAGAGTGTGGGATTACAGGTATGAGCCACTTCACCCAGCCCATATTCTCATATGTTTAAAATAAAAGAGTTTCATTTATTTATACACACGTGTTGGGGCAATTTTCAATTTATGGTCAAGGAAAAAGGCAATTCATCTGGCCTCAGAGCCTGGCTTACATTCCTTACCTCAAATTCAAAAGCCATAAAACATCTTCTGAAAGAAACTGTGCATACAGAGATGACATTTTCAATTGTCACATCCCAAGGCTCTAAAAAGCCTTATATTATCATATGAAGTTGGACAATTAAGTTTGCAAACTTGTCCTAGAAAAAGCATCATATACCTTATTGTTAAATATCACTTATGGTCACCTTCTAAATACTACCCTTAGGGAGTTATGCACCAACACCAGCACCTCGTCCATCCTCAAGGCAATTTTCCTAGAATTAGTTCACGAACCTAATTGTCAGAACTTATATGATGACAGCTCTGATGGTCATTCCATAAAAAGAGTTCCAAAATGTCTTGTTTTTTATTTTTTTTGTTTTTTCCAGAGTCTCAAAAAATAGACAACTAATATTTATAAATAAAAATAGAAGATAATTTCAAAAAACAGATCATGCCAAATCTTATAGACAGTAAGTTCCAAAATGTTTTGAAGGATGAAGTAGGCATCGTGTTGGTGCACAGCTTCCCAAGGAAAGTGCCTCAAAGGTGATCATAAGTGATATTTGGCAATGAGGGTTGTAGCACTTTTTCTAGATGAGTTTGTGAACTTAATTGCCTAAACTCATAAAATCATAAAGCCATTCCTGGCTCTGCACAAATTTTCAAGGCCAAAATTATCTGAAAATTATATAAAGCATGGCAACTTGATACTTTAACAAACTTTGGGGTTTTGTTTGTTTCAGGTCTCTATGTTTTATGGAAAAAATACCTAATCACTTCTTGGTTATTAACACAGAGCATGACCTTGCAATACAAACCTCAGACAAAAGTTTAGATCAGCGATGACACCACTATTGAAACCCTTGGGGACTATATCTGGGGATTCACTCTCACACAGAATGAACAAAGACCCCCACAAGCCTTAATAAGCCCAAACTTTTCAAGTACAGAAATATTAATAGAATTAAAATATAAACAACGTAGGTCAGCACAGAAAGTAGTGCCTTAATTTCTAATCAATTTTAAATATTTTTTAAGTTCACTGGTTAAAAACTTAAAAATTACAATGATTACAACTAGCTTATAGATTGGCAAAATTCTAAACATGAAAATGCCATTTCTTCTAACAACCAGGCTTCACGTATTATTTTCTAAGACAGAGGCTGTAAGTAACTCTCAGAGGAAAGAAAGGAATGCCTGACTAGCATGAAAGCCTTCAATGCTCTAATCTTAAAATAATCCCATAAAAGGGCCATTTTTTCCAAAATTAAATTCAAGCATTCCAAGTAACAGAATATAAAAAGTGTCAATGTCGGCTTACGTGAAGGTTCTAAAAGGTTAGGTACTAGAAGCCAGAAATTTTAAACTTAGCATATCTTCTCTATTACTTCATTTATTTTAATTTTTTAATCTGTTTTAATCTGTCCTTTATTTTAAATCAGGTATTAGCAAACTGCTTCATTTATTTTTAAACTTTAAAATGCTTATACTAACATCTACTTGAATTACTAATAATAAATAATGAAAACTTATCAAGTCATTGGAGAATTCCAAAAATAGGATAAACATGGCACTGCACATCACTGTCAAAGGGCAATGAGTTCATATTATAATCTAAGAAATGCACTATGTATGGCTTTGCACAAAGGGAATACAATATTACTTTTAGTACAATTAAGCCAGAGAACCAGAAGTACTTGAATGAGAAAAACTGTCCCAGTAGAGAATATCTGTGATCATAAGCATAGAAACCAGTCCTTCTGAGGTAGACTGACAGTCCCCACAGTACCTACATGGCCGAAACACAGAGAAAGAGGGAATAGCAACTTCCCATTGGGTGGCTTTAAAAAATGAGTAAATAAAAAGCGGCTCACGAGCCTGTGGTTAAACTGATTGAGCTGAGGGCTTCTGGTATGGATTGCCTCTTCTCAACACCTGATTTTTCCTTTGCTTCCCAGTATTTTCCGTTTCTCCCTGTGAATATCCTACTAAAGCATGACGACTGGCACATCCAGATTCTGGACAGTGGGACAGTGTGAAGCAGAGAATCACCATGTGAGCTCTCACTACCAAGTTAATAAGGATCTGGAGGATGAACTAGAAACTCCTTTCCCTAAAAGCTCCTCAAAATATAAGGCACTGGGTAAACAGTCCCACCCACATGGAAAGGGATTCTGTTATAGGTGATGTATGGAAAATAAAACTTGGGTTTCAGTGCCATCTTGATAACTAAAAAGGAGAAAATAATTTCCCCTTGGTGCAAATATTTTGGACCTCCTAGCTGAAGTAGTATATGAACTATACAATTTTATAAATAGCCCACCCACAGGAAGACAGACTCTGCTTCTCCTGCTCCTCCTTCACGTTTACCATGGAGCAGCATTTAAAATTCACAGACACAAACCTGTACACTGTGGTGCTTGCAGTGTTCACCTTCTCATTCAGGATGCAGCATTTAAATTTATTGTACTACAAAGAAAAACATATTTACACATTATTACACAAAATGTTTAAATAAAGAAAACTATTCTTTTCAAGAAACATCTACTATGTCCTGGGACTAAGACACTGGAGATACAGAAGCTCCCAGCCTAGAGCTGCACTGTCCAGCACGGGAACCACAAGCCCAGTGGGGGATGCACATTTAAAGTGCAACTAATCTGAAGTGACATGCTGTAAGCACAAGATAAACTGGACTTTAAAGGGGTAGTGTGGGAAAAAATATATAAAATAGTTCATTGATTATTTTTTATAGTGGCCACATCTTGAAATGATATTTTTGATATACTGAGTTAAAATTTTTTATTAAAGTATTTTCACCTTTCTTTTACAATTCAAATGTAGTTGAAAGAAAATTTAAGGTTGCATCTGTGGCTCAGATTCATAGACCACATCGTATTTGTATTGGACAACATTGTTCTGGAAGACCTAATTTTAGTAACAATAAATAAATAAAAACAAATAAAATTCTGAGGACATGGCTACTACGTTAATGATGTTATTACATTAAAAAGCTAAGATACTTTTTTTCTGTTTCTTTTTTCCTTTCATCACTATTAACATGGTATCAGGTACTTTATATTAAATAACTGTTTAAAGGAAGTAAAAGGGAAGAAAAAAATCCAGATTTATTATGTGTTCACTGTTTTACATCTACATATAAAAATAAAATCACTTTCCTTCACTGAGGTAAATTGCATTTAGTTCTTAAAAGCAGCTGCAAAAAAGGCAACTTGCAGAATGGAAGAAAATATTTCTAAGTCATATATGTTAAGGGATGATATCCAGAATATATAAAGAACTTCCGTAACTCAAAAACAAACAAACAAAAAGCAACCTCATCCAACACTGGGCAAAGGAGACTTGAATAGACATTTTTCCAAAACCATTTCTCCAACAAAGACATATAAAGGGCCAATAAGCACACTAAGATACTCAACATTACCAAGTCATTAGAGAAATGCAAATCAAAACCACAGTGAGATACCACTTCATACCCAATCAAAATCACAGAAGATAACAATCATCGAAAGGATATAGAAAAACTGGACCCCTTGTGCTGGTGGAGCTATAACATGGTGCAGCCACTATAGTAACTCTTCAAAAATTAAAAGTAATCTGGGTATATATCCAAAAGAAATGAAAGGAGAGACTCAGACAGAAATCTGTACACCTATGTTCACAGCAGAATTATCAACACTGGTCAAAAGGTAAAAGCAACACAGTGTCCATCAACAGGACGAATGAATGAAATTGGTTTTACACCCAATGGAGTATATTATTCAGCCTTAGAGGAAAACACGTTGACAAATGCTATGACGTGGATGGATTTTAAGGACAGTATGCTGAGTGGAACATCCCAGCCACAACAGGGCGAATACTGTGACTCTGCCTAAGTTCTAAAAGCAGCCAAACTCATAAAGACACCAAGTAGTGGTTGCCAGGAGCTGGGAGGAGGAGGGAATGGGGAGTAAATGTTCAGTGGGTACGGTGTTTCTGTCTGGGAGAATGAAAAGCTCTGAAGACAGACAATCATTGCACAACACTGAGAATGTACTTAATGCCACAGAACTACACACTTAAAAATGGTTAAAATGGTAAATTTAATATTTTATATATTTTACCACACAAAAAAAGAATAACTGCAACTTTTAATAATACTGTGCTTTCAAGATGCCTTCTCTGATATAGATAATTTTTTAAATAAAATTAGCAATAGGTTTAAGTACGTTGGTCAAAACAATATAAAGAGAATGTTAAAGTTTTATACATCTGTCCCTGTACCTACCTATATCATCTGCCTTAAATTTTTCATAAAACAAATGAGGAAGGAAATGTCACAGCAAGTGACTGGTAACAAGCTCACAACAGGTTACCATAATTTGGTGAGCAAAAGCCAATAATTCTGGGGGGGAAAAAACAAAGCTAATTATGTTAATTATTTTTAATGTTCTTAATAAAAAGTTTTTATTTTAAGAGTTTCCCCAAGTTACCTTAAACATTTCCAGGAGGATTTCCTTGCTGACTTCTAATCTTTCAAAGGCTTGCTTTTCTTTTATAATATCTTTACATATATTTTCCAAGGCTGACAATTCTGTGCTGGACACTGCTCTATAAAGAACAGCATGTAAGAATCAGTATGGACTTTTTAAGACATAATTCATTTCCCCTTTCCCTTAGTTCTATAGCCTTTGTCACTGACACATTTTCTAAAGTGAATTTGGCGTTACCAAGACTTCAGATAATCACATATTCGTACACAGAGCTGATGTTCCCTTTTCACTGAGAGGAAGACAGAGGCACCAACAGTCAAGGGGATCTGCCTCCCACTCTTCTCTGCTGAGAGGTCAGTGGAAAAACCCTGTTAGGAGGCTCTTTTAAGGTCTGTGGTTCTATGTGGTTTTCCTTACTCTTCACACATTCATGTTTTCGCTCAAAAGAGCTATATTCAGGGCTCACCATGTCCCTGGCCCCCCTGGCTGTGGGATCTAGGGTGGAAGGAAGACTTCTGTGAACTGCAGAGTCACAGACCTCATAACAGCAATCAGCCTCCACCAGGAATGGGCTGACCTCCTGTTAGACCTCCCCTGGGTGGTACTCAGTCCCCTCCTATCACGTTGGCCTCCTTGCCATTCCTCAAATAAGCTAAACATGTTCCCACAACAGCACAGTCCCACAAAGGTCTGAAATTTTCTTCCCCTAAATATCTACACATGCCCCCACTATCCTCCAGACCTGCCTCCCCCTCCATTCTGGTCTCTGATTCAATGCCCCTTGATCCTTCCTGACAACCTGCCTGCCGTGGGGCACACCTCCCCACCTGGTTAATGTTTCTTCATATACTCCTCACCAGGAGCTGGATGCTTGTTTATTTCCCATCTCCCCCTACCAGACTGTTACCTCCATGAGGACAAACTGATTTGTTCACTGTGAACTGACCAGCACCAAGCACAGAGCACATAGTGGGCAGCCAAAAAAATCCTGCCGACTGAATCCTAGAGTGGAGTGGTGGTAACAAGAGATGGAGTTGGAAAAAAAAAAAGAGAGAGACAAAGTTGGATGTGACATTTTAATTCAATAAAAAAAAACTTATTTAGTCTTTATCCTGGACTCTCTGGAGTGATAGGAGTATCTTCTGCAGAGATGACTGGTGGCTGTGGGCTTCAGGATTGGAGACTGATCACCAGAAAGATATAAGACACGATTAGAGGGTTAGAACTTACAGACCCATCACCAGCTTTAAGGAGAGAAGGGCTGGAGAGTAGGTCACTAGTGGTCAATGATTTAATCAATTGTGCCTTTGTGATGAAACCTCCATAAAAACCCTTAAATTTTGGAGTTCAGAGTGTTCAGAGAGCTTCCAGGTTGGTGAGGTGCTGCCAGGGTGGCATGTCCAGAGCAGCATGGAAGCTCCATGCCTCCTCCCATACACCTCACCCTAAGTATCTCTTTCATCTGGCTGTTCCTCTATATCCTTTATATTAAATGTAAATAAAGTTGCTTTCTAAGTTCTGTCAACCATTCTAACGAATTATCAAACCCAAGAAGGACATCATGGGAACTCCCAATTCATAACCAGATGGTTTGAAGTACAGGAGACCTAGACCTGAGACTGACATTGAACTGGGGGCAGTGTTGTGAGACTGAGCCCTTAATCTGTGGGATTTCTGCATAACTCAGGGTAGATTGTGTCAGAACTGAAATGACTCATTAGACACCCAGTCGGTATCCGGAGCATTGGAGAATTGGTTGTAGGTGTGAAAAAACCCAAACAAACTTTGGAGTCTGAAGTGTTGTAAGTAAACCTAGTTCATGGTTGTGAGTACAAACAGTTCAGATCAGACAGTTCTGTAAGTAGTAGCTACAGTGAGCTGGATGCTCAATTAGGGAGGTCATTAAGCAATAAGAAGGAAACAGGTAAAGGCAAAATGCACCATACTAGTCCAGGCAAGAAATATTATTAAGGCAGAAGTGAGAGAAGGAGAGGAAGACAGGAGAACTAATTAGGAGGTAAATTGGCAGAACTGGATTGAACAGGTGGATGATGGGGCGGTGGTGGAGAGTAGGAGGAAATGGAAGGACCTGAGGTTTCAGCTTTGACAACCAGTGGTGTCCATAGGAGTTATGAGGACTACAGGGCAGAAGGTCAACTGGGGCAGGCCAGTTCCAATGATTTTAAGCACAAACTCGTGGAATGGGAGGCCTCTGTGAACCATCCCCATAGCACTCAACCGTGCAGATATTTGGCTGAAGTTGGTACCCTTGATTACCATGGAGCAGAACTGAGCTAACTGCTCTCCAGGAATTACTGTATTTTGCTGGGTATAATGCATACATTTTCCCCCAAATTTTGAGGGAAAAATAAGATGCACATTATACATAGGGGTTACTGCACACTCCTCGCCTGGGCCTTCTGGGGCACAAGGGGTTCCAGTCCAGGAGGATCTAGGACCCAGTAGGAATGGGCCAGGGTGGCCTCCATCAAGCACTACAGTCAGGGGAGAGGGGTGGTGGTGGGGCTGATGAGTGGGCTGTGGCCATGCAGGGTGAGGCTGAGGCCCAAGGCACAGCCATGCAGAGGGAACCAGGAGCCCTGTGCAGGCCCCAGGGACCCGCCTGGCTGCCTACTTCTAAGAAACAGCCTTAGAAGTTCCTGCCCTGTTGGGGAGGAACACACGCGGCCATTTCAGCTGTGGCCTCTGACATGGTGGGGAAGAAAGGGCTCCTGGAACACAGGGAAGGGAAGCTTTCACAAAACAGGAAGCTGCAGGAAGGCAATGTGACCTGCACATTTACTATGGACCCTCAGCCTTCCCCAGACGTGCCTCCCAGCGGAGAGCGGGCCATTTTCTTGAAGGGTGTTTTCCTGAAAGTATGGCACATGGGTACACATTATATACAGGAATGCATTATACAAAAATGCAAAAATACAATAACCTTTTAATTCTAATCTTAATAAGTACCATGCTTTAGCAAGTCCCAGATTAGATAAAGAAAGTATCATATTCTTCTGGGAAAAAAAAGAAAATAATTAAGACATTACCCTTGAATCTAAACTCATTAAAAAATAATTTTAAAAAATGGCTACCAATCTATAATCACATTATGCAATACAATTGATGTTGAACATGGGTTTGAACTGCACAAGTCCAAGTATACATGGATTTTCTTCTGCCTCTGCCACTGGAGACAGCAAGACCAGCTCCTGCTCTGCCTCCTCCTCCTTAGCCAACTCAACATGAAGATGGTGAGGATGAAGGCCTCTGTGGTAAGCCACTCCACTTGATGAACGGTAAATAAGATTTCTCTTCCTTATGATTTTCTTAATAACATTTTATTATCTCTGGCTTACTTTACAGTAAGAATAAAGTATATAATACATATAATATACAAATACATGGTAATCAACTGTTTATGTGACTGGTAAGGCTCTGGTCAACAGTAGGCTATTAGTAGTGAAGTTTTAGAGGAGTCAAAAGTTATATTCAGATTTTCAAATGCATAGGGGTTTGGCACCCTTAACCTCAGTGTTGAAGGGTCAACTGTACAGAATTACTAAGCTAATGTGCAATCCCTACAGAATGAAAGATAAACATATGCATCCAGAAGCCAGTATTTAGTGGTATTACCTGTCTTCCATGAACATGTCATAATAAAATCCATTTTCAATGGGTGGACCACAGCAGAGGTGGCCCCCATAGTAAAGCTCCATGGCCTCCCCAAGAATGTGAGCACTGGAGTGCCAGTATACCTGCATGGCAAGGACAGAGAGGCCATTAGCTACTGAAATTATGTCAGAGAAAATTAGTAGTAAGATAATGTAAGCAAGTAAGTAATTTTTAATGTGATAAATGGCAAGACCTCAGGGCAACATCAATCTTCAATACCCAGTTAGAAGAAAGAAAAAATTCTCTGAGCCCTCCCTGATCCCCCCAGAGCCACTTGCTTGGTTCTCGTATGCAGCTGCTCTGTCGCAAGTGGCATCTAAAGCTCAGCTACAGCATCATCTCTTCTGTGCACATTAACCATGGGAGTGAGACCACCTGGCTGGACACAGAGCAGAGCAGCTGTGTGGAGACCTGTCTGAGGCCAAGGCTGGAAGGCAGGCCAGAGCGCCACAGGCTAGCTCTCCCTTTTCTTGATGGGGAGGGACTATCCAGGCTGGATGGAGAGAGCCAGAGTGCTTTTCATGACATCACTTAATTTAATGAGAATTTGCATCTCCATAGGAGTTTTCAACATGTGACTGTGGAAGTTTGAAAGACGGTTCAGGAAGAAAGTGGAAATGTTGGAATGCCTGCTGGCTGCCTGAGACCCCTGAGCAGTGTACACATAGGTTAATAAACCACAGTCCATGTCAGGGGCCCTCAAACTTTTTAAACAGGGGGCCAGTTCACTGTCCCTCAGACCATTGGAGGGCCAAACTGCGGGCCTCAGTCAGCTGCTAAGCAGGACAGGCAGCATTGGCAAAAACACCTGGCAGGCCAGATAAATGTCCTAGGCGGGCCACATGTGGCCTGCAGGCCATAGTTTGAGGACGCCTGGTCCATGTCATCAGCCTTACAAGTTCAGAAAGTTGATCTGGTTTTGAATTACCAAGGAATTAGGTTTAGTTTATGAATAAACTATAACTAAAGTCACCAGATAAACATAGGTGCCAAAGAAGCCACATGGTCAAGTCCTTTTGGCAGCACTCTCTTGCCCTTTATTAAATACAGTTAGAAAGCTGTTTGATAAATTGAGGCAGAGGGAGTCAATCAGAGCAGCTATGTGCAATCAGAGCTGCAGTGGGCTGGGCTGGGATCAGCAAACAGAATCTTAGGGCAGAGCACCTCTCATTTAGAACTTGCCAGGACAGCCAACTTACTGCCAGCAGCTGCCTAAACCTTCTCTTCGTTGTATTGTCCACCCCTAGATATTTGTTGAGCCAAACACCATTAGGAGCCGGGAATATAACAGTACAAGAAACAGATAAAATCACTGCCCTCACACAGTTGCCACCAACTGGATAAGAGACAGGCAACAAGCATGTAAGTGCATAATCATAAGACAAGCAGGGCTTGTGATAAAGAATAACAGTGAAGGCCTGTGTGGCTACCATGTAAGGGATGGAACAAGTAGCCCCCGAAAGGTTAGAGAGGTAACCATACAAGACTTGGGGAGGAGTGTGTGTTCTATTCCAATGCAATGGGGCACATTAAAGGGTTTTAAGCAGATTCCCGGGTGAGTGGCACAGAGGAGGAAAAAGTGGACAGATTCCAGATACATTAGGAAAGTAAAAGCTATTAGGCCTACCCATAAACTGGAGATAGGAGTTAGGGCAGGGAGACTAATCACCCATAACCTCCAAAGTCCTGGGTTGAGCAACTGGGTTATGTGATGTAGTAGGACAGCGTACAGTGAGATGGACAAAGAGGAGAAGCAAGTTGGGAGGTCAAAATCAAGAGTTCTGTGGTGAATTCACTCAACTGAAAATTCTTGTACACGATCTAAATGGAACTACACATAGGCAGCAGTGCACACAAAACTGAGGCATCTCTAGCTACAGGTACAGAGTTAAGAGCTGGCAGTTTACAGAAACGTACCTGCTGAATCACTTGTAAATATGGTTTTTATAGGTTTGGATATTTAGTGGTTATACTTTGCATATTTTAAACAGAGATTATAAGCTAGTTCTCATAGTTTGGATTAAGAAACTAAGAAATTTAGCATAAGCCTTGCAAGTAAAATAACCTAAGCTAATCACTAGTTAAGTTTTAGGGAGACAATAGGCTGCTCAAAGGGTGATTGGAAAAGTTCAAGTGAGAATGTATATCACAAACCTAAGTAGAAATGGGGTACCTAGCTACTATTTAATTTAATAAGAAGAAAAGTCTTATTTAAAAGACATTTGAGGTTTTTTTTTTTTTTTTTGGAGACGGAGCCTCAAGCTCTCTCCCCGGGTAGAGGCTGTGGCATCACAGCTCACAGCAACCTCCAACTCCTGGGCTCAAGTGAGTCTCAGCCTCCCAAGTAGCTGGGACCACAGGCACCCACCACAACACCTGGCTATTTTTTGGTTGCAGCCATCATTGTTATTTGGTGGGCCCAGGCTGGATTTGAACCCATCACCTTAGGTGTATGTGGCTGGCGCCTTAGCCACTTGAGCCACAGGCGCCAAGCCGACATTTGAGTTTTTGATAATTTCTTCCAATTCTCCTATACAAATTACAGGGTAGATCCATTTTTAAGAGCCTATCAAAAATTCATTTCAAATACTGTAACTAAAGCTTTCTAACTTAAGAAAGTAATCCTTTTAAGAAATAATAAATATGAGCTATTTCAAAAACTGATATATACTGTATATATTCATTCCACAAATATTTGTTAAACATTTATTAAATACCAATATTCAAACTTTAAATCTTAGAAGCCAAAAAAACTCATCATTATTGACTTCATATGTTTGTGTGTGGCTTCTTACATAATAAAGTTCACAACGAAGATACTCAAAATCTGGTTGGTTGGTCTTTAAATACTTTATACTTACAGCTTGAGCTTCCTCGTTATCAAACATAAGCAGCTCTAGAGTAGAATCCCCTTCCAGGGGGCGGTCCAGGTCCCACAGCTCACCATTTACTTTGGCTATTACTGTGCTTTCAGCCAGTTCTTGACTAGTAAGAGAAAAGCCACTCGGAAGTTAACCTTATCATTTCTACAGTGATTGGTTAGATTCATTCATTAGATTAAAATGATAAACTTTTTTAAGTGGATACAAAGTACAAATGTAAAGAAATAGATTTTTTTTATTTTGTAACACTTATTTTATGTAAAAAAGTAATATATGTTCACTGTAAAAAACTTGGAAAACAGAGCAAGGAAACAGAATACATAAAAATAACATATAGATCTCAGAAACAATCTAGAAATAACTATTCACAACATTCTGGCACATTTCTGTCCAGTCATTTTTCTATATCTATCCGCCCACATACATACACTTGTTAAAAGACACAGTTGCCAACATAATGTTATAGTCTGCTTTTCTCTGCCATGCCATCAGGTAGACCTCCAAAGGAGTCTAGAAGTGCAATACTTACTAACGAAGCCTCTACCTGCACTTTTGGTGACCTTTTTGTTTTCCCCCCACAGAATATGCCACACACAGACGTCCACACACACGCATCTTGTAACTTCTGTGACTGTTTTCTGGGAAAAGAGGCATGCATCTTTGAAAGATTTCTGATAAATACCATCTGAGTGGATCATTTCCATGCACCCTGATTTTTAAAAGTTTTTTCAATGTGATATTGAAATTTATTATTTTGATTTATCTGATTTTTAATTTCAATAAATGTTTATTAGCTATTTTTACCTTCATGACCTATCCATTTCCTTTGCCTATTTTCTAGTGAAGTATTCCTCTTTTTTCTTGTGTATCTTTTAAATAACATTTATTATTTGAAAATTATCAACAAAAATAATAAGTTAAGAGACGTTACCTGGAAAGCACAGGAAAAGCACAAAGGAAAAAAATCCACAATCCTACCGCACAGAAATTACTGTTAATGTTTTATCGTATGTCCTTCTCCATCATTTGATGTGTACACGAATATAAAAGATTTAACAGCACCATTAATATGTGTTGTCATATCACCTACTTGTTAAACTTCACAACAGATCACAGCATTTTCCCTAACAGGAGACAGACCCCTAAAACATACTATCTAACAGTTGCAGAAGAACCAAGATTTGCTAGGCATTTCTTTATGGGTTATGTTTTTTTGTTTGTTTTATTTTCAGAACGATGTATAATGTAGCAATGAAGATTCTTGAAACAGCTCACCCAATAATTTTTTTAGGAAAATTCTAGAAAGCTTCTGGGTCAAGGGAAATGAATTTTTTTTATTTCTGTTGGAATAATCAGCAAATTTTTCCTACCAACAGAAGTACCAGAGTACCTTGTCTCTATGCCCTCGTAATTTTAGGTACTATATTATGAATAACTATATCATCTTTATCATACTGCACTACATTATACAGTTACTATGCTACATAATATATAAATTATGCCATCTCTACAATGGGATTTTTTTTTTTTTTTTTTTGCAGTTTTTGGCCAGGGTTGGGTTTGAACCCACCACCTGCGGCATATGGGGCCAGCACCCTACTCTTTTGAGCCACAGGCAGCACCCAACAATGGGATGTTTTAATTTACATTTCTGTGATTAACCAGAGCAGGACAGGATTGTGTTTAAGAGCTCAGAGGTGAGGCCAACCTAAACACTGGACAATTTACTTGGCTTCTCTAAGTCTCAGTTTTTTCATTTATAAAAAGATACGTCTACACTAAAGTATTATATAATATGTACATGTAAGAACTCAATGTTAGATACTGTTACTAAAAAAGTAGAATTTTATTTTCACTTTTACTGGAAGTCGAATCCATTCTGCTTTTCTTTTAGAGTCTTCTGCAGCCTTCCCTGCAGCTAGAGGTGGCCACATGACCAATGAATACCAGCAGAAGTGAAGGACAGCACTCCTGTGTCTCAGCCTTAAGACAGCGGAGGACACTTCTCCATCCTTTCCACCTTCTGTGGACTGGAACACACATGTGCTATTATATGTAGACAAGGGCAGCCCTGTGCCAACAGCCCAGCAACCACACAGAAGGGATTTAACTCCGCAAGGACGGTATGGAGAAGTGCTGCCATGCTGACCTGGACCATTCAGCTCCAGATGCTTTATGAGAAAGAGACTCTGATCGTACTGTAGCCATCAAGTTCTTTCTGGTGTCTCTGTTGGTGTAGCTTAGCCTCTACCTTAAGTAACAAAATAATAAGGATCTGGAAGTAACAAAAACCAAAACATATTCCACTGGCTTAGCACAGCAAACAGCAGGGGTCCTCAAACTTTATTTAAACAGGGGGCCAGTTCATTGTCCCTCAGACCGTTGGAGGGCTGGACTGGGGGCCCCAGGACAAGTCGGCTGCTAAGCAGGATAGGCAGCAGCAGCAAAAACACCCGGCGGGCCGGATAAATGTCCTAGGTGGGCTGCATGTGGCCCACAGGCCATAGTTTGAGGATGCCTGGCATACAGGCACCGGGTTACAAAGAAATAGAGTCTAAGATAGAGAAAGCCAACAACTCTGATTATGGTGTAAAAAGATACTTGATAAAACTTGTAGTGTACTATGTGTTACAGTGCTTATAGCACATGAGGAAGGGGATGTAAAAGGCAGAACTTTGGTATACAGTAGATGACTCTCACTGCTTTTAGCAAGATGCTACTAGAATGAGGTAGGCTCAGGTGTGAATTACCTAGTCCACGGGCACAGATGGAGGGGACAGGGCTTTGCCAAGGAAGGCTCTCTCCACCTGTTACCTATAACTCAAATTGACTAAGAGTCCAGAAATGTGAGGCTCTGCATTATAGGAAAAATAATCTTCAGTCCCAACAGCAGGAGGAATGGGCACTGACAGACCTTCTCAAAGACCACAGGTAAAGACAGACAACAGGTGTCAAAACTCGAGGAATTACCAAGTAAGGGCGCTGTTCTCCCACAGCCTATTATCTTGGCCCTTTAAATTGAGGGACAGGAATGTGCTAAATACAAATGCCACAACGGAAGAAAGAGAAATCTCTGCCTAGTGCTCTCTAAGTGAGATTACTTTCACGTGGAGCTGGACACCAGCATGTAGACAAGAAACATACTGCAGTTAACCACTTTTAACCAATAATATTTCATGCTAATGCTCTCTAAGTGAGATTACTTTCACATGGAGCTGGACACCAGCAAGTAGACAAGAAACCTACTGCAGTTAACCATTATTAACCAATAATGTTTCAGCAATTTGGCAATAATATTGCCAAATGAATCCAGCTTACAGTTATCTAGGACTGTGTGATCCTTACATGAACCCTCAGCCCCAGGGTGGACCAGTAAGAACTGGGCTGCACAAACTGTACAGCCCCCATGGGGACAAACTCTCCTGAACTTCAGACATGACATGACAAACAAGGGCAACAAACAACTATGAACCTTCTCAAAGAGCAAAGCAGAACTCATGGAGGACTGTGGACACAGACAGCTGCTTTCAGAAAACAAAGAGTGACCAGATGGGCTGACCTAAGCACTAACCACTGCCAGGATGTGGGCCTCACAGCCACTGTGACAGAATCTGATGAATTCTGTATACTACATTCCGCTTTTTCAAATAGAAACTTTAATCATGATTGTCTTGTGTTTAATGTATACACGTGTGGTGTGTTGCTGGACTACAAGTAGCCAGCCTGATGTTCTGTACATCACTAAGAATTCCTGGACTTTGATATATGGGAATTGGTGTCACCTCACTTGAGGAGCAGATGTACTGGATGTTGGAAAAAGTTACCCATAGATATGCTGGTATTGGAGGGGCAAACCATGGCAGACTCCCAAACTGCCTCTCCCCCTAAATCATTCCTGTGTTCCATGATGTGAGTGCTCTAGGTAGACATGTGGCTGATCAGCCCATGGATCTACATTCCCTTCTCTCTGACAGTTAGGTGTGGCCATGTGACTAAATGTGAACAGGATCTACATGGGAAGTGAAGCAAGTCATATTGGATCCTGGCCTCACAGTATCATTGTTCTCCAGCCTCTCATTCCCCTGGCTGCAGAGGGGTCCAGAAATGCAATCCAGCTTTCCCTGCTAGACATGAACAAACCATACCTAGGGGTTGCCAGATGAATAAGGTGGGCAGAAGCTGAGCCCGTAAATGACTGCATGGAATAGCGATGTCCACCAGCCTAGAGTGGTTGCTTCTAGACAGCTACAGGAGAGAATCTGATGTCTACTATATTTAAGCCACTCCCCTTAGGGGTTTCTGTTGCAGTAGTTTAGCCTAATTGAGTAGTTCTTAAATGTTAGCTTGTATCAGAAGCCCCTGAAGGACTCAGAAAAAAACAGATAGGAGGTTTGAGGCACAGCCTAAGAATTTGCTTTACTAACAGGTTTCCAGGTATGCTGATGCTGCTAGTCTGGAGACTACACTTTGAAAACTACTAATACATTTAACATGACTCTTCATGAAGAAACATAAATATTTTTTTGCTTCAAAGCCCATTTTCCCCTGGCATATCATATCATCTGTCCTAAAAAAATATGCAAATAGGTTAGGACAGCTTTTAGGGTACATGATATTATAAGATGAATCAGAAATAATCTTAGGAAGTGGTGGCGAGGCTGAAAAGTGAGCGGGGTAGAGGTGGTGGATGCAGGAGTGCTGGGCCTAGTTTTAGCTCTGGCTACAGGAGGGAGATACTGAGAGTGAACCATATAATGACGAAGAATTTGAAGGTTATAAAGATAAACCAGATACTACTTCTAGCAAAAACAAAGACCCAATAACAATTGTTGATGAGATGATGGAACTAACAAAGAAGCCACAAGCACAGGAAAGTTGAACCAGAAGAATGAGCACATCTATAACCTATGGTGTTCTGGTCAAGTGTGCTGTGAGGGCATGCTTATCTAGCTGAGATTCCTCAAGAGACAAGACTTACTGAATGTCCTGGCCCGGATGATGAGGCCAGTGAGTGATCAAATGCAAATAAAAGTAACCATGAATGATGAAGACATGGATACCTATGTGTTTGCTGTTGGCACATGGAAGGCCTTGGTGCAACTGCAAAAGAAATGCAGGACCTGAGTGTGTTTTGTAGTGATAAACCTAAATCTGAAGCAAAGTATGGATTGCCAGACTCCTTGGCCATCCTGTCAGAGATAGGAGAAGTCACAGAGGGAATGATGGATACAAAGATGGTTCACTTTCTTACACACTATGCTGACAAGATTGAATCCATCCACTTTTCAGACCAGTTCTCTGGTCCAAAAATTATGCAAGAGGAAGGTCAGTCTTTGAAGCTACCTGACACTAAGAGGACACTATTGTTTACATTTAATGTGCCTGGATCAGATAACACTTACCCAAAGGATATGGAGGCTTTGCTATCCCTGATGAACATGATGATTTACTCTATTGATAAAGCCAAAAAGTTCCGACTCAACAGAGAAGGCAAACAAAAAGCAGATAAGAACCATACTCGTGTAGAAGAGAACTTCTTGAAGCTGACACATGTGCAAAGACAGGAAGCTGCACAGTCTCGGCTGGAGAAAAAGAAAAGGGCAGAGAAGGAGTGAATCATGAATAAGGAAGTTAATGAGGAACAGCGCAGGCTGGAAGAAGCTCCTTTGAGGCGTGAGCAAAAGAAGTCAGAGAAGCAGCAAATGAAAATGAAACAAATCAAAGTAAAAGCCATGTAAGGTCACCCCAGAAATTTGAGTTTTTTGTTTTTGTTTTTTTTTAAAGATAAGCTTTATTTATTTATTTTTGCCATTTTTGGCCGGGGCTGGGTTTGAACCCACCACCTCCAGCATGTGGGACCCTACCCTTTTGAGCCACAGGAGCCGCCCCCAGAGATTTGAGTTTTGATGCCACCTGTCAGCTCTAAAGTCACAGGATGCAAAGAACACCAGTCCATTTCTCTCCTTAAATTTCAGACACTCCCAGCCAACTGAGAAATCTTCAATTTCATCTTCTCCCTGCTTTTGGTTTGGAGATTTACAGGGTTTATAGATTGAAAAAGTCTTGTGGCAGGTTCGAATCTAGCCCGGCCCGCCAAACAATAATGACAACTGCAACAACAACATAAAAAATAGCCGGGCGTTGTGGTGGGTGCCTGTGGTTCCAGCTACTTGGGAAGCTGAGGCAGGAGACTCGCTTGAGCCCAGGAGTTGGAGGTTGCTGTGAGCTGTGATGCCACAGCACTCTAACCTGGGGGATAGCTTGAGGTTCTATCTCAGAAAAAAGAATGTGTATAATGGCTCGGCGCCT